GTTTAGGGGTTTAGGGGTTTAGGGTTTAGGGGTTTAGGGTTTAGGGGCTTAGGGGCTTAGGGTTTAGGGTTTAGAGGGTATAGGGTTTAGGGTTTAGGGGTTTAGGGTTTAGGGTTTAGGGGCTTAGGATCAGTGAGTCCGACCCGCGGCCCTAACCTGTCCATGGAGCCCCATATTGGAGCCCTAAACCCTGAAACCCTTTGGCAACCCCAAACCCTCAACTCAAGCCTAAAGGCGAACCCCCGACTGCTTCGGCCCTAAACACTATGTACGGTGCAGGGCTTAAGGTGGAACCCAACACCCCTTGTTAGATATCGCTTAAAGGATCATAGGACTTAGTAAGTAGGGTTATAATTAGGGTAACTAAACTCATAACCCCAATTAAGGGACTTACAACCTTACTTACTAAGTCCCATGATCCTCCAAGCGTGGAAGCCACAAAGGATGGGAGGCCAGATTTGCAGTTTTGCTGGTTCTCCGAAGACTCGCGGTTTAGGGTTTAGGGTTCAGGGGTTTAGGGTTTAGGGTTTAGGGTTTAGGGTTTAGGGTTTAGGGTTTAGGGTTTAGGTTTAGGAATACGATACCAAACTCAGAATATGCGGGCCTTGATCGCTGTAATCATTAACATAAAGCTCTGGGGTACAGTATGCTACAGTTATACAGTAGATGGGGACTACAAGAAGATGTAACTACTCATTCTTCAGTCGTCTATGTTGTCGGCCAAGATGCCGGAAGGGAGCCCAGAACAGGAACGCTCCTTAGAGCACGAAGCGGCTGAAGCTTCGAGAGCTTGGAGTCTTTCCGGCATCAACCCCACCACCCCCAGGCCCTCGACCCCTGAACCCATACAAACCCTAAACCCAACTGAGCTGGGTCCAGCCTTCAACCGTATCTTGCAGCAATCACGTCATCATGCTACATGTTGCACTAGGAATACGAATACGAATAGCAGCAATATTCTTCAAACTTACCAACAGAAGAAATATTCGAAGAAGGGACTAGTGTCTGCATCAATAGCAGGAAAGAAGACTAAGAGAAGGCAGTCAGAGTTATAGGGAGAGCCATCGAAATAACAGCAACCGCAGCAAGACTTGTAATACTGAAAGTAGTCGAGTCGCCACCATCGGAAGTAGTCGAGTTGCTTGATCGCTCTGCTGAAGGTTGCAATGTAATGCGAATCATAAAGCATGACACATGTACCTGTGATCATGGGGGCTGCATGGTACCTTGGCTGACCTCAGACGCATTACTATCGAGAACTCGGTTTCGGGTTATTTATTTATTTATATATATATATATATATATATTCAATTCGTATCAGTATGCAGTATGTACCTACGTATGCATCTATATATATATATATATACACGTGCCATTCCGACCCCGCTAGTACAGATTGGGTCCCGGGTCATGTTTCCGGCTCCCGGAGACTTTACAGCTTCTGCACATGAGGATCCAAGGCTACGCCCTTCGCACGCCACCACCCAGCGGCCCAGACCTAAAAAACTAACCAACACCTCGAAGCCCAAAGAGCTAAGACCCGAAAATCCTGAAACCCAATGAACCCCAAAACCCAAAAGTCACAACCGCCCTCAAACCTGTAAAGAACCCGTCATACAAAAATTCCACAACAATCCGAAACCCTTCAACCTTAAGATTGTAAACCTAATTCAAAAGACCCTGAAAGCTTAACATTAACCCTACAGCCTAAAGCTGTAACGCCTAAACTTTTAATATAGCCGCCTAAAACTTAGAAGAGTGTGTTGGGGCAGATTATTGCGTACTCATGAAACGAAACCATAAGGAACAATCCTACTAATTGCTCAGACTTCTACATTCAAACGTACACCCTAACCCAAAAACCCTGAACCAGAAGGAATTTAGGCAGTATTACTATCCTTAAGCCCAAACCTTCAAACTCAGCCGCCGAGACGCCAAGGTCCGGGAGGAGGCTTCGCCTCGCGTCTTACGCCGGAGCACCTTTTCCTGCGCAGTTGTGGCATGGGGGTTGTCCGGGGACGAAATGAGGGTTTGGAGTTCAGGGGGCAAGATGTGGGCTTAGGGTTTAGGGCGTTAGGGCGTTCAGGGTTTGGGGCTTGGGGCTTCAACAGCCAAGGCTCATTTGGCTTTGCGTGCTGTGTTGCGGCTGAGTTCACGGTACCCAGTATGGTTATTAGTTTGGGTTTGGGAGTAGGGATTCTGTGGCTTCAGGGGTCTAGGGCTTCTAATCTAGGAGTTGGGGGATTTAGGGCTTGTAATCTAGGAATCTAGGGTGTAGGCTCAGCAATACATGGTTTGTCCTAGAGTCGCTGAGAGTTTAGTGGTTGGGGATTTTGTGTTTAGAGCTTTTGGGCTCAGGACGTAAGAGTTAGGTTGAGCTGAGGGTGCTGCTGGGGCTTAACAAGTTGAAGGGGTTCGAGGCTACGGGTCTTATTTTCAGGGTTGTTGGCTTGAGGGAGGATTCAACGGCTCATGTCTTTCGGGTTTCCGCAGTTTGGGGCTAAGGGAAGGTTATGTGGTTTAGGGTCTTTGGGCCTATGGGACTCGAGACCGGTTCTGAGGGCGCCCAAACCCAAAAAGCAACCTCAGCGTGTCTGCGGGCATCAGTCAGTCATGCATAGTGGCATATACTCGCACCTGTAAGGATATTCAAAGCTTGAAGAAAGTCTATTTTCGTGTGGGTCACCGTGAGCCCCCAGGCCCAAAGCAAAGAAGTCAGTCGCCAAGGAGCCCAGAAAGAAGGGGCCGGGGCTGTGTCCGAAGTCCAACTGCCTGCGGCAGCTCAGGGTGGGACAGCTTCCGGGCATAAAGCTTGGGACTTATACAACCACTGCTGCAACAGCTTGTCGAGCGTGCAATGCAGAGGATGATGATCACCACGACGGCCAGGATCATGATGATGATGATGATGATGATGTTCATGATGATGAGGATGAGGATCTTCTTCCTCCACCGCGAAAGTAGTCCGCGCTGTGTCTGCTGGAGCAACGGCTTTGCCGCCGGCGTTGAAACGCGCGCTGATGGCCTCCTCAACCTAGACTCAAAAAAGACTCTACCCTCGTTTAGCCTGCACCTGCCCTCCCCCGCCCCGCAGGGCCATCTGAGCAGGGACGGCTTGGTGCTTGTGGATAGAAAGAGTAATGAAGTACAAATAGAAAGCAGAAGACCGAGTAGGCAATAGAGTAAGAAGTAGAAGATGTGGCTTGAGGGCAGAGACGGAGCAAAAAGTGCTATTAAATCAAATTCGACAGCAACAGCTCTCAGCTCCACACTCCTACGGCATCGACCTGGTGAGAAAGAAGACATACGAGTTTTGCTGAACTGTGCTGAGATCCTGCTGGCTGGGATCTGCGGACACACTGTTATCGTCAGTGAGGTGCATGACTTGCGAGCTGCGCAAGAGAGCTGCTCTGTAATGGCCGCTCGTGGTCACTTCACCAAGGTGGTAGACTATTGCACGAACAGTGTAGTCACTCCATTTGACATTGCAGTCATGACTGCAAAAATGCGGGAAGGTGATGCTGTATGGCGGGTGAATGGGCACACGTAGCTTGCGACCACGATCGTCAAAACGGGCTACTTGCAGCAGGAGGGCTGTAGGCTGGCCATCAACAGATGCGAGGGTACGCTCTTGTTCATGCACGACTTGTTTATGCCATTGATGTACTAGCCGTTGCAATGTGATGGGCTCTGTAGCCTCTGCCTCGGCCTGCCAAAGCGATGCTGTGAGAAGCAGCGGCATCATCCGCCCAGCTTCAACGACCTGGGAGGGGTTATGCGGGGTTGGGTTGAGTCTAGCTTCCCATGATCCTATAGACCCTGATCGGATGAGCTCAGGGCCAATGAAGTGGAGAAACTCCGCCGCGTCCTGTTGGCCCTGTGCAGGCCAACGTTGTAGACACGTTTGCCAGGCCGGAATTCGCCACAAGTGCACGAGCCTGCCTGGGCTTGCGAACACCTTTTGCAGTGTAAGCCTGAGGCGCGGGTCGGGCGGATCTGGCTGAAGGCCTGTCCGGCTCCACGTCCAGAGGTAAGCAAGTATGATCGCATTTCCGTAGCAGTAATTAGAACTGTTACCCAACATGACTTGCAAGACCCGCCTTTCCGTTAAAGTGCTCACAGCTTCTTGGCCGCCTCTTCGATCGCTTTCTCCAAGGGCCCTCGTCCCAATTTGCTCGGTCGAACCGTGCCCCCGATCAGGTGCCAAATGGCGTTGTAAGACATTCTCTCGAATGCCATATACACTTCCTGACTCTCGCGGCACCGATTGTGGATCTCGAGGGTGAAGGGGACGACTTCCGCCGCCATATTCGATGTCAAGCGCCTTAGCGCGTGAAACCTCAAAATGACCCGGGGAAAGATGAGGAAGTTCTTGATGAGCACGAGGTACTCCTCGGCCTGCTGGAGTGTGAGGTGCTCCTGGTTGGACTTCTCGTGTTTCTTGAGTTCCGCGTTCCATCGTAGGTAAAGGAAGCGGTCCCCTTCCATCAATCCCAGCTGCTCCAGTCTGGCCTGGTCGTCCGGGCTGGCTTCCAGGGCTGTCACCCTTTCCAGTAAGGCTGAGATCATGACATTGACCAGGGTGGTCGTAGGGTGGCGTTGATGCTGTCCGGGTTCTCCTGTTTCTTCAAGGAGTGCCACTTCTCCGCCGCCTGGAAGAGGTTGGTCACCACCGCCCATTGTTTGGCCTTGGTGGCATCCTCGCCCGGAAGGTGCGGCTGCATCGATGTTTTGAGGAAGACCATAAAGCCCAGATCCATCTGGAGGTAGGATAAGGCGTCCGCCTGCCTCAAAACGAGGCGAACTAGTTCGCGAACTAGTTCCCGGAGCTCCTTCTCCTTCTTGGTCTCCGACTCCGCCTCCTTTTTCCACCATTGGCCTCCGTATCCGCGGCGAGAAGAAGGCCGCCAATCCCTGTCCTTGTCCCGGCCCCTGCGCTGGCTGGGAAAGCGGACTTGTGCCCTTTCGGGCTGAGCCGCCGCCGCCGCCGTTTGAGAGCTTCCCTCCGCCGCGTTCTCTTGGCCCGGCTCTGCTTCGCGAGCTCCCTGTCCCGTTCCGTTGCCCTCGCCCTTGCCTGCCGCCTTTTGCCATTTTGAGGCAGGGCCTTGCGTCGGGCTGCGGTCTGCCTCCGGGGAGGCTCTCTTGTCCGTCTCCTTGGTGTCCATCTGCTCCGGCTCGGAAACTGAGGGGGGGGCTGTGCAGACGTCGTCGAGGGAGGGGGCGGCATGGAAAACAGATTGGCCGAGGGCTTCACATACCCCTCGAACTGCTTCAGCTCCTGGGCCGCCCGAATCAGCTCCGGATCCTCGTGGCCGATGTCGGACATGTTCGCGAAGATCTTTCTGACCTGATGGGGTGAGGGAGCCAAACTTATGCAGAAGGTGTCCACATGTCCACAGCACTGGACAGGCACGCTGATGGGCCTGAGGAGCTTGCGTGTAGGTCTGGGAGCACCAACGGCACGGCTGTCCTATGCCTTCCTTGCTGAAAGCCCACTTCTTGACAACGGCATCTGCTTGTGCGATTTCGGGGTGCTGTTTGCAGGCGTGGCGGGACACATACATGCGTGTTGAGCTCTTGTATCTGCACACGAAACAATGACCCAAGTTAATTTCATCTCTGACTAGCAACCTTAAGGCGTGCGTGTCACCCTTAGCCGCAGCCTCTTGAACCAGTTTTTGGTCAGAGCGTTGTAGGAACATCGGAAGGAAGGCTGGGAGCATCTGCGGTGTCAGCTGCAGCGCTAGTCCCGCCTCCCGGTGCGGACACCCCATTTGCAGAGGGGGCTAGCGGTTGCGATGCATTGTTTGACGTCGATGAATGTAAAATTGAGCATGCTGACTGCACAAAGTGACCACAGAACGCTCTCCAGCTAGAAAATTGCTTGTTGCAAAACCGGCACTCCGGTCGGCCGTCACGGGCATATTGCATGAATTCGGTGGATCTGTAGGATTTGGATGCATAGCTCTGCTTGGTTTTGGCCTGACTGTGCTCAGCATGAGACTTGCCTATATGAGTGCGTAATGCATGAAGGCTACTGTACGTAATCCCACAGTAAGGACACGCAGAGGCCTGTCTGAGCATTTGAGTGACCTCCGTCAGTGTGCCTTGCTGGGTGTGGGCTTCGGTACGGCTGAGACTTGTCCAGTCCTGACTTAGGATAGCAGTCCAGCGTTGTCTCACAACCTTGGGTTGGAGACTTGACAAGTGAGCCCGTGCAAGACCTATTCGTCCCTGGGTAAGGGAGTGCAGGGTTTTGATTGGATCGTCTACTTCGATGCGCGTCATAAAGTGCTGGTTAGTTTCATGACTTACATGCGCCGGGCTACGGGCCACAATTCTTAGTTGTTTGATGACCTGGGTCCGGATTTGTCCTGCACTGTGGGCGTCAAGCATAACCGTTGTCAGCCCATAGAACATAACGGAGCGGATGCAAGCCACCCATAGTCTGATGCGTGCTGTCTCCGGCAAGGCTTTGCTAATCAAGGTACGATGGATTCTCTGGAAAGCATGCCAAGACTGCTTAACACGGTACTCAACAGTGCCACGCTCCCAGTTAGCATATCCAATTTTGACTCCTAAATAGATATGCTCCTGTTTGAGGGGGACTTGCAGCACTTCCGTCTTGGTAGGAACTCGGACGGTGCGACCTTGTTTACTCATCTGAGTGACCTGCTTGGTAGCTTGAGTTGCCTGCGTGCCTCCTATGGCCATGAGAATTACCGTCTTTTCAACCGCTATTAGCATTCCAGAGTCTGCTAGTTCAAGTTCATCCAGAATTCGACCTGCTTGTATGCAGGCATTTCTGAGCTGAAGTCCTGATAGAATGTCCCAGGAGATATGGTAGTCGTCTGCATACAGCGTAAGCTGTTGTTTGCTGACATGTTTCTGCAGGGACTCAAAGGTAAGCAGGGTATACCCCGCCCAAAGTAAGGGTGCCAAGCCACATCCCTGGCGTATGCCCGTGGATGTTCTCAGTTCAGTAATGTACTCGTCCTTGTTGAAGACAAGGAGCATCTCAAAGTGAATGTACATGATCAGACTTATGAGATCTTCGGGCACGGAGATACGCCTGAGAGACGTCTCCAACTTGGCACGTGGCAGCCTGTCGAAGGCCTGTCGCATGTCAATGGACATTTGCATACCTCCTTGCACCTTGGGCCGCGCCCTTTCGCGAGCCGCAAAAGGATGTGGCCGGGCTTCCGCTACTCGCTGCTTAACTATAGCACAGTGACTATGAACCCTGTCTAAAGCATCCAGGGTTTGTCTGCCGTTAGCGTAAGCGAACTGCGGGTAGTCAACTAGGGCTTGCTCAAGCAGGGGTCTGACCCGTTGGGCTGCAAGACGGGCAAGAATCTTAGCTACTGCAGGTAGTATACTGATGGGACGCAAGTTTCCTGGTGACGTAAGGGGTTTTTGTGGCTTAGGCAACAGGACCACGAAGGCCCGATGCCATTCCGGCGGGAGGTAAAGCTTGCCTGTCATGAACCGGGATTGAAAGTCCCTGTATAGGATGTCTACAACCTGTTCGTGACATGCTTTCCACAGGACTGCCGGAGCCTGACCCTTGGGAAGAGCCTTGCGCATTGGCAGAGACCCTGCCGCCTGAGAAATCTCTGCCCTGGAGAAGTCCAGAGGAAGCATAAGGGCATAGCTGCTGTTCCCCGGCTGATCAGGCGTTTGGTACAGCGCCGTGAAGTGATCTTTGATGCTTTGCAGGGATTGTGAGGCCGTCAGCAGGCCATGAGTCGGATGTTCGAAGTGAATGGATC